AGAGAGAGAGAGAGAGAGAGAGAGAGAGAGAGAGAGAGAGAGAGAGCGGGAGAGGAAGAAAAATCGGGGCAGCGGGTGATAAATGTGGTAACAAATTTAATGGCAAGTCAATTGTCGCGCTGTTAGCAGCTGCTCAAATGCCAGCCGAAAGCAGCTAATTAAAATCATTTCACAGACGCACACACACACCGACACATAGAGAGAAAATAATGTTTTTGGGACCCTCGGGTAATTATCTTTCAAGACATAACAATTTAGCCAGTCCATTAATTGGCTGGCCCCAGCTAGTCCCGCAGGACTTGGCCAAGATTTCGGCCTGGCCAGGACACGTGCCTTAACGTCGCAGCTTCAAAGTTAATTTACAAATGGCCAAACGCAGCTGCAATTAATTTCATTTGATTTTCTTTCTCGCTTTGTTTTTGCTTTGGGCCCAGCAAACTTTGCTCTTTGCCAAATTGATTTTTCGTCTTGCGGTTCAAGTTTTTGCCAACAACTTCTTCAGGCCAAACGCACACACACACGCATAGTTCATTTGTCATTGTGTGCGTGTGTAAATTTTTAATTAGACAGCTTTCAGCAGCTACGGCAAAAACTTTGCCATATGCCACACAATTAATTTCGTGTGAGTTTTGCTCCTCGAATTTAAGATTCGCCCCAACATCCTGCCTTCCCCTCACCCATCCTTAGCCCAGCCCAAGTCTTTGTGTTTGATGCATGGCCGTGTAATTAAAAAGGGTTTAACGGCAAGTTGATTTATGCGCAGGTTGCTAATTAAATTATGCATACTCTTCCAGTATCAAGCAGCTTAAGTGCGCCAAAATGGAAATGGAAATGGAAATACCCTGTAGTAAATATTGAGATATTCTCATGGACTTGTAGTTCTTTTGTCACTTAAATATTTGAATCGCATATCATATTTTAATCTCATTGCAACCGCCTAAAGTATACATACATATGTATGTATATGCGTGTATATGCCTCACACAGTCGTCGCCTGTTCGCTGGGTATTCAATTCCTGCAAATCTTTGCCCAAGCAGACAACCGTTAGACGCCGTCATTTGTTTGGCCCCAGCGCAAATAAAACAAAGTACGCAATGACATGCCATTTTTTTCCTCCACTGACAGACATGCTATCCCTCTCACACCCGCGCCAGCACGCGCTAGACATCTAGCGCTTTCTAACTGCTGTCTGTCTGCCATTAGCTACAATTTGACTTGACGACTTCTTGATGCCCTTTCAAAGCATGTTGCGAATAGCATATATGTATTAGATAATTAATATTAGATAATTCTATAGATATTATTACGTCTCTTTAATTAAAATCAAATGAAAATCTTCATGGTGCTGCATATGAAAGCCTTTTACATATACTTCTAGGTACATATGTATGTATAAAAAAGGTATTTGAGCTCGTCACAGCGCATCCAAATGTGTTTTGCTTGTTATTTCTTTTTCGCTGCTCCTTTTAATTTCTTGTTCGCTAAACACATTGTCAAATTGACGGGCAACAAGCTTCATTCAATTGCTCAGTCTTCTTCTTCTTCGTCTTCTTGTTAATTATTAACTGTTGTTGTTGCTGTTTCTTTTTTATTGCCGCTGTTGTTGTTACTAACAAGCGAAGGCCCCTGATTCATGCCTTGTCTTTGTTATTGTGCGCCCGCAAAACGAGTTACAGAAAGCAAAAGAAAAAACAACAACATATTTGGAAATCTTTGAAGTGTACATAACTCATACGCCATGTTGAACGGTGCTAATTATTCAAATTACTTGGCGCGCAGTTGCATTAAGGCAATTATGTGAAATATACATTAATGTATGTATATATGTATGTATGTGCATAACTATATGTAAATGTAGTTGTATTTACGAGACATACATAATCATGGGGCTTGTTTAATGCCGTTGCCATTTCACTTAGCCACAAACGAGCCGTGGCCATTGCCGTTAACAAAATTGCGTTTTACATCATTAATTTTTACGAGCTAAACTAGGTCCAAAATGGCTGATAAGCTCTAAGAGCCAAACAGCCAAACAGCCAACAGCAAAGAGGACTTGGCTAGAAGGCAGTGCCGGCAAGGGAGGGAGAGAGTGTGGGAGAGAGACGGGTCTGCCTTCTGGCTTCTGGGATTGTCGTGCTGTGGGAGCTGAGCCTGCTAAGCGGCAATTAACGCGTCTCAAATGTGCCCACTGTAAAAAGTTTTGCTGCTGTTGCTTGAGGGCAGAAGGCAAAACAAATATTATTCGATGTGCTCGACTTGCAGATACCCATGGTATGGGTATTGGGTTGAATGGAAACAGGTGTGTGGTAGAACACATAACCAAGGTATTTATGTACTCAAGTAAGGCTTATTAAATCTGGATGATATAGCTATAATTACAGTTTCTCTTGATATATATTATATATTGCATACATTTGAAGTAGATACTAAGATGGACAGATAGTTCACATTCATTTCCTGAGGTACATACATCCTAAGTATACTATCTAAGTTGGGCCACATCTCTCAGTCGCTTTCATTGTATTTAGGGTAGCGTTGCTCAGTTTTTATAAAGTTTTTCGTTTGTCATTATCATAATGGTAATTGCATATGGTCATATCATGTATCATAAATGTAGGTACGGGGCGGCGGTGTGTAGTGGCGAGGGATTCATTTTGTTATAATTCTAATATTAATAATAAAATAGAAAACAATTTGAGACACGCAACGGCGTTCAACGCATCAATGCCTCATTAAATTAGAGACAAACAAGCGCGTGACATGTTTATGGCTGGCATAATATGCATACACTGAGCGAAATGGTGGAAAGCTAACATGACAGAATTGTCTTTGAATTATTAAGAGGAAGAAATGGAAATTAAAATATGGAGACATTCAAAATCTTGCCTCGTTTAATAAAATACTGCAATATTGTATAAAGTAGATTTTCTTCAAGTATAAATAATTCTAATTCTTCATGTGCTTGATAGGGCAGCGATTCCGCACTTGGAATTGCTCATTAAATGAAATTTGCTCTGTGTTGAGGGATATGCAAGGGCCATAAATCAAGGTAATGAATAAACAGCTGGACAGCTTATAAAATACTTTATATGTAGACATTATGTGTATGTACATGAATTAAACATATATATAAATATTTAATATCACTAGATACGATTTATCCAACTATGAAGCTTACATAAATTCAGAGCAAATCAAGGCTCTAGTATTCTCGATTACATCAATTTCTGTTTGTAGATAGTTTTAGTCTGGAAAACTTATTCAATGCTATTTTTTCATCATTTCTGAACAATATTAAATACTTTTATGAATAAAAAAATATTTTTTATATTTTTAATTTGAAATTTATTTAAGTTTTTTAAATGTATTGCTCAACTGGAACGATTTGATTTATTTGCATTTAGTTTCGGAATATAAAATTGATGATTTCCTATGAATTATCATCAAATGATACTTTGTAATTTGGTTTTAAATTATATAAAAAAGGTTATTTTAATGCAGAAGCATAATTATTTCCTGACTCAGACTATTTTTCAGGTTTTGATTTATAAAAAATATTTTCATAGTTGTAGTAAATATCTTCAAGACTCATATACTCCATAAGCAAAGTTATATTAAGTTCTATTTCATACCTGCTTAGTATAACTTAAGTTGAATTGTGATTATGTTTTTCATAGCCTCCATTTTGTGTGCTGATGATAAGCGTTTGCCTAATAGGAAACCCTTGGCTCATTATGGAGCAAGCGCTGCAGATGACTTAACAAACTAGATACGAGAACGAATCCACCCCCGCAGAGGGCCAACCCCTAAACGGAACAAGTATGGGTAGGCTAGAGCCAGAGCCGGAGATAGGCGGGGGAGGTTTGCGCTTTTTCATTTAATGTGCTCATGCATAATGGAAAAACCTTTTACCCCCAGTTATAAAAGTGAGCTATATATACTTATATATACGTATATATTTATATTTTTCTCTCTTTTTTCTAGTTTAAAGAGGCGCGGCAGGGGCGTTAGCTGTCAGCACTTGAGGGCATTGCATATTGATTTTTTGTTGTTGCTCAAAACTGTAGAACTTACCTCCATTTGGTGCGACGATTCTGAAACCACGTTTTCACCTGTGCATCGGTCATCTTGAGGCCGCGAGCGAGTGCCGCCCGCTCGGCAGATGCCAAATACTTTTGCTTGTGGAAACGTTTCTCCAGCTCGGCCACCTGGATGCGTGTGAACGAGGTGCGCGGCTTTTTTCGCTTGGGCGGCGTGCGATTCTGATACGGATGTCCGATGCGTCGGGCAATGGGAAAGGCAGCTGAAAGCAGGAGAGTCCTCAGTTAGCTGTAGCTCAGGCAATTAGTTAGGTATACATCAAACATATATAAGTATATCTAAATAGATAATAGGACATTTCCGATATTTGCTTCCGGCAGCCCTGCGACTGTGACCTGTGTCTACCTGCTGTGAAATCAATTTGGTGAAGAGCCGGAGTCACTGACTCGAGTGCCTAATTGCCGCTGTCTGAGTGCGATCTTTAACCTTTATCATCAGAGGCAGAAGAAGACGACGACGACGCACGCGACATCAATTTCATTCAAAAGGTTGAGTCATAAACTCTCCTCGTACTTCCTAGGATGCCTATGTGACCTAAGTCTAAGGCCGCCTTCGACTCTCTTAATGGGTGCGCACTGTGCCGCTGGCTAACTGGCTGACTGGCCGGCTGTCCGTTTGTCTGCCTGGCGCTGAACCTTTTAAAATTCCAGCCAGTCGACTTACTTTTGCGTGTTGTTGTTTATTGTGTGCGATAAGACGAACCAACCAAGCTACAGCAACAGCAACAACAACAGCCACAAAATATTAAAACGTTGTCGTCGTCGTCGTTGTCCTCGACGACAATCGGCTGAAACCGGCTTGACCAACGTCTCATAGGGGTCATTTGTTAGTTAGATCTGGCTAAATATTTAAGCACATAAAAATTACTCAAAGATGCGAGCCCAAATGCAAAATAGCCTATGTAATATCGTAGATATAAAATAATTTTCTAATTAATTACAAACACTAAAGTTAAATGCATTCAGTATTTTCCAAGAAAATTGAGTAAATTGAATGAAGAAAAAACTTTAAATTTCAGTAGATTGCAATTATATTTCCTACATAAATTGCAGATTGTGCGTGTGCTCGTTTCTTCTTCTTTATAAAATGTACCTATTTCATAAACCATATTCGCAATTTTCCTCATTTTCCAATCGCCAAAGAGCTTCAAATGCTATAATATTTACAGCTCAGCCAAATTCCTTAACTTGCTTTTTATACCCAAAGAAACTTTGCTTCGCTTAAGGCAACTCTGAATTGGCCGCAATAAAAAGCCCAACAGAATGGCGAAAATTTCCATCAATCGGAAAAGTCCCGAAGCCGAATACCGTTATGTATGGCTGGGTGTTAAGCTGACAAATCATGTTTTTTATTGTGACTTCGCACAGGAACCCTTCAATTTCCATTTGCCCTCAGCAAAAATGGATGTGGGACGTGTGCTCGGAAGGGTTTGAATGCCATTTGAATATTTCAGGTAATATCAATTTCAATAAAAAGCCATTTATCGCACCACATAAGCAGGCGCTCATATCCTTAAAGGATGCGAAGTCAAGCACTCATTCGCGTAAGCATAATTTTATGGCTTACCAGCAAATCCCGCCCCGCCCCTCAGTCGGATTCCTCTTATTTATGATGTTTTGGCTCAGTTCTTGGCGTATCTTAAAGATACTCTCACAACCTGTCTGTGGGCTGTGGCGGCTGCTGCTGCTGCTGCCGTTTGCCTTACCGAAAATACGTAAAATAATGCTAAAAGCTTTTAGCATGCATTATTGATGGCGCCTGTGGCCGAGACAGAGGCTGAGACTAGCGGCGCTTGCTCACCTGGCGTATGCGCAATATGTAGCTGCTAATACATACACTCGAGCATTTAAACTTTGAACTTGCATGCGATTTGGCCACTTTTTGGCTAGAAAGGGCTAAAAATTTAATTGGCGCCTGCTGCGTGCGCCTGTCAGCAGAAAGTCCAAGCAACGGCATTCCAATTAACATGCAACGCTTATTAATCATAAGAGTGAGTGTGAGAGGGAGAGGGAGAGGGACAGGGAGAGAGCGGGAGCGGCCAATGGGCAAAGGGTCACACTGTGACGCTGGCTCGTTTGTCTTGTTAATGAAAAAAGCCAAGGCGCCAGCTTATCAGCAAAGCCGCAGCGACACACCGCACTCACACAGGCACACTCATTCACACAGACACAGACAGATGTCGCTGACGAAGTTGTTGACAAAACGAAACTGGTCAAAGGAAGCTACACTCGCTCTCCATCTCCCTTTCCCTCACCCTCTCTCTCTCCTTGTATGACAAAATGAAAGAGTGTGGCCAAGTTCTGTTTAGCTTGCATATATCGGCTCTTCCTCTCGCGCTCTCTCTCCCTTTCGATCTCTTCTTTCTGTTTGTAGGCTGCGCAGCTCGCAGTGCTCGTCTCCCTCTCACACTCGCACACTCACACATTCGCACACTAGCTGAGACTAATTAAATGCTGCCCATGTCAGTTGAGGCCGCGTCGCATTGAAGTGTGGTATGCTGGCGATAAATAAGCCAGGCCGAGCCAAGTCCGCAGCTCACTTGAAGACCGCCCAAAGTGTAATTAATTCCTTTTTCGGGGGCACAGCGCGAAATTAAAAAGTCATGTAAACCAGCTCATTAAAATAACTAAAAAATAAAACAAAAACGAAAACGAAAAGGTATATAAAATAAGAAGCGCAGCGGATGTTGGCCATAAAAGCAAATCGCACCGCGATCGTCCAGCTAAGCAGCTTTGCGGCTCACAAATATGAGTTAATGCAGCCAACTTCCTACTAACTGGGCCCAGGCGAGCCCAGTCGAGCCCAGTCGACTGACAGCACAGCTGATAAAAAGGGTATGCAGATTCGTAATAAAATCAACGCGTTCTCATTATTTAAGCGGCTCGCGCTGTTCGAACAACCGAAGCTCATAATGTAAACAAATTAAGGAAGCGAACAGCGAGCATCCATCCAGCTCGGATCGAACATACCTATACCTGAATATACACATATATGTATGTGTATATATAAACAGATATACCTATATGCAAATGAGTAGAGCAAAAGTTCTGCTTCTGGGCGGTTTTTTGTTCTTTGGCTTTGACTTAAGCTGCGATTGTGCATTTGAAGGCAAACATGTTTTTATACTTTAGGGCGTGTGTGCCAGTCAGTGCATGTGTGTGCATGAGTGTGTGTGAGTGTGTGTTTGTGTGTGGCACTGCTTGGGCAAATGACATGCCGACAGGCATGTTGGCTTAAAAGACTTCTCTGATCGCGCTTATTAGGCAAGGAACACACACTCACAGTCTACAGGCTGCTACACACACACACACACACACACGTGCACCGCATGTACATCGTAACAGTAGCTGTTGCTTGTTTTTTGGGGGCTACCTCACTTTATACTCTGTGCTTCACTCACCTGCCAGCCGATCCTTGACCGCCTGATGGGCGAGCGCCGCATGATGCAACGGCGGCAGCGCCCAGGTGAGCGCCGTGCGCTGCGGCGGCACACGTAGCACATGACCAGCAGCCGCTGCCGCTGCCGACGGATAAAGATGCGGATACGAGTAAAGCGCTGCGGCGCTGCCATAAGTCGAATTGGCAATGCTGCTGGCCAATTTATAGGCGGCCAAATCGTGTTCATCTGCCTGCAGCTCTTTCTCTTCAATATTTCTATCCAAGTTGCTGTTGTTGTTATTGTTGTTGTTGTTGTTGTTGCTGCTGCTGTTATTGTGTTGGTTGCTGCTGTTGTTGTTGTTGTTGTTGGTTTCAAAGGGTTTCGAGAGCAGGCGCGATATACTGAAGGGCAGATTCTCGCTGGATGAGGAGCGCGTCTGCTCCGATTGCAGTGATTCGCTAAAGGAAAGAGAGAGAGAGAGAGAGAGAGAGAGGGAGAGGGAGAGGAAGAAAAGGAAATACATGTTATAATTATTGTTATTGCTGTCATTAATATAAATGGTGTCACTAGATAAGAGCGAGACAGACAGAGTCAGACGGAGACAGATAGAACTAATTATGGCTAAAATGTTGCAAACCAAAATCTGAAAACATTTGCCCACGCATATGGCATACACTTAAAGAAAAACTAATGGATTTATTACGCAAATTGAAGACAAACAAATGGCAGAAAACATGTTTTAAATTTGAAAATATTTTATGAATGTAATTAACAGAGCATAAATAAACTTGAACATAATTTGATGATTAAAATGAACTTAAGTATGTTAGACAATTTCAAATGGCTGTCAGTTCTTAAATGACTGTTAATCGCTAAATTATACGGATCAATGTGAGAAGAACAAGTCATCTTTCTTATATGTGTAGGTATTCAGGTAATATTCTGTAACTAGATTCTTATGCAGCTTTACATTTAGCTTTAAAATAATTTTGACGAGATGCGAAATTAAAAAAAAAAATTATAAGAAAATGCAGAATTAATACTACCTTCACATATAAATATATAAAAAGCATTTTTTATATCAAAGTATATTTTGATTATTATATCTAATATATTTCCAATATAGATTTGCATATAAATTAGATCAGATCAAATTTATTATTATTCCATCACAATCGAATTGAGTACAACAATTTTTCTCAAAGTGTATTTCAGTAGTTATTGCTGCTGCTGCTCGATGTTGGCTGCTGGCTCTTGGCTCTTGGCTCTCGGCTGTGTTGCAGATAAGGCCTAAAGTATTGGCTGGAAACACGCAGAAATCATGTTTTCGCCTCGCGCTCAGCCTTCGCCTTCGTCAGCGCATATGCTGCGTATGCGTAATATTTCGCATGAATCTTGGCAAATTAAGTAATTATGCAAATGGCATTTGATTCGAATTCTATAAATCGCCAGTCCGATCTACACTTGACAAACAGCATCAGCCACAACGTCCATAAGTCAGTGGAACAACTATTTTATGAGCTTTCTTCTTTTGTCTCGCGTCTCGCGGATCACAGTCGCTTCGCTTTATGTGTTTTCAGCTTCGTTTTATGGAGCATTCTCTATTAAAATGTTAATCCCATGTGATGCGCAGGGCCCCCCGACTGGGACCTGGTCATTGTGTTGCTCGAACTCGTTTGGCGCCCATTTGGGGAGCTGTTATCGCTGCGCGTTTTTTGGCGCCTTGCTAATGTGCCTTTTTATCGTCGGCGGAGTCGGCCATGCCCAGCTCCATCATACCCTATGATTCCATCTCTCTCTCAAGCACTTTCTCTCTCTCTCTCTCTTTCTAGGTGTCTGTGTAAATTCAGGAAGTTTTCTTGGCGTCTGCTGCGGCTATTTATTAGCGTTTAAGAGCTTTTTTCACGCCAAACCCAAATTAGAGCGAGTCGAGAGCTCGTTTCAATGCGATTCGATTCGATTCGATTGTGAATGAAAGCGTTTATTGGATCAGCTTGTTAGCTATTCAAATGCGCCAAGAATGGGACTTTGTGTAGTCAGACAATGCGAGCGTTATTTGAATATATTCATTTTATGGTCTCTTCAAATGATTAAGAGAAGTTTCAAATGTCATTCCTGACTGGCTGATACTCTGTTTAAGGTGCGGGATGAGATTTAAAATGAGAGAGAGAGAGAGAGAGAGTGATCTTGAGACAGATAGGATGATCAAGATAATGAGAGCGAGGAAGAGTCAGACGGAGTGAAACAGAAAGAGAGAGAGAAAGTGACTTTGGGGCAGACAGGATGATCAAGATATAGAGTGTACGAGAGAGAGAGTGAGAAATAGAGACATAGACACATAGATAGTGAAATAAATAGAGAGGCACGAACGGAGACTCGAATTGTGGAATCGAAATCATAAAACATACATATTTTAAATGCTGAGGCTGGAGGGTGAGGGAATAATTTCACTCTGTAGTAATTTCACTATGTAACAAATATGCCCTGCCACCCAGGGTAAACAGAGCATGATTATGAGAAGCTCCCTTACAATAAGTAATATATGCTAAGCCCCATTCAATTTGCTCTCAAGTTGCTAAATAAACATGAAAATGCATGAACAGATCTGTTTGACACCAAAGATTTGTATATATCTACTCAATTGTGTAGACACCTGATTAATAGTTTACCTGAGCGGAGTCTCCGATTCGTCATAGCAGCTGCCATTGTCCATGTCGACGTCTGAGCCGCTGCCGCAGGACATTCGTGAATCGGAGTCGACATCGACGTGAATTTCCTGCTCCTCAACATCTTCGCCGTGCTCGTGCTCCTGCTCGTGCTCATCCTCCTCGTGACTGGACATGTTGAGAGCTGTCAGGCTTATGTGAGGCGCCAATTTGAACAACACTTTTGTTTTTTTCTATTCTTGATTATTCAGATATATACTCATATATATATCGGGATCTGCTTATGAATCGAGTATTTATTTGCCTCACTCACTGCACAGTTGACGGCGCTTCGATAGGCCCCACACTTTGGCTTTGGCTTTAATGAAACGAGGCCGCGACGCGATTTCGTTAACCGTTAACTGGCTCGACAAATGGAACTGGGCTCAGATTTGAGATCGACGAGTGAGCGAAAAAACTCCGTGCTGCTAGCGGGCGCGTGCTGGCGGGCGTGAACGCTTTTCATAAATGCAACCAAAAATATGCCGACGGACTGTGTCGCTGCCGCAGTCGCTGTCTCGGCCGCTGCCTCAGTCGCTGTCGCTGCCCGCTGCCACCGCTCGTTAAGTGGCTTAGCGAGCACGTAAAACCAGTTCCGCTGACGCCGGCAGCGCTGTCGCCGTCGTCGTCGCAGTCGCCGTGGCTGCTGCCCTCCTGTTTGGTTAGCTTTAACGAGCCTGTTTGCCACCTTGTTTGAACCTAACCTACCATAATAAACGCGCGCCAACCCTCCCGCCCGCACTTGCCTACGCCTGTGGTGGTTGCTCTGCCTTGGCTCCGCCTCGCGAGTGTTTGCCTCTCGCTCGCACGGCTCGCTCTCTCACTCGCTGCGCCGGCGCGCTCGTCTGTGCTGAGGTGGACAAACCGGTCTGGGTCTGCGCGTCGCTTGGCAGCACTGGCCGGCAGCTGTGCAGCAATTGGCGCAGTGGGCGTGACGCTGCTGGCCTCTGATTGGTCGCTGCGTCGCAGTTAGTCGAACAGTTACAGTTAGCGCTGGCTTGCCAGTGGGAGCGTGAGTGAGAGGTGGAGAGGGACGGGGACGGGGACGGAGAGCAGCTTTTGCATTTGCGACGACATTTTAAATGGAAAACGTTTTGCTTTTGGGGTTTTTATTACGCACGGAGACGAAAGCACGAAGAGAATGTATTTTCATTTTGATTGCTTCTATTTTCGGCTTAGCGATGCGAAGCGAGGCGAAGCGTTCCGCCATCTCGTTCCTGTGCGAGCAGGCCAAAGCACGGAGAAGTGCAAATGTGGCAGATTAATAGCACAATTGGAAATAGCAGCGTTTTGTCAGCTTCAAACTCCACAAAGCAGGGCAGGCGTGCCGGGCAGAGGGGGTGGGGCGGGCCACAGCTCTTAGAGTGTGGTCCACTTTTTCGCAGCGGCTTTTCCTAATGCCTGCCCCAGGCTTAAGCCATTGACAGCCGCTGCGCGAGATCTCTATTAGCAGCGAGCGCAAAATGTTCCGCTGCTATCGCTCACCTGGCATTCTGGCAGCCAGCGATAAGATATGCCCCACTCACCCACCGCCTCCCGCCCGACGCCCACTTGGGGTCTATGCAAATGGAAATTATTTTGTTTTCAGCATCTTTTACTGCGTTCCAAGTTCACTTAAAGGTTAATTGACAGTTTTATTGGAGAGTTTCTTGGCCTTGAGCATGGCTCCAGCTCAGGTGGCAAACTGGAAGGCTAGCTACCTGCCTAGCTGACTACCTGGCTAGCTGGATGTCAGGAATGCCGCCGCGTCTTGATTCTGCAATTGCAAATGGATAGCTATGTAGCTATTTCTGATATGTTGGCATGTGCCATGTACGCACATGCCAGAAAGAGAGAGAGAGAGAGATTAGTTATTTTCTTCTGTCTCTAAGACCAATTGTAAGTTTTTCCTCGTGCTCGTTTAACAAAAAAAAAAAAGAAAATTAATCAAAAAAATTCAATTTTGCACTTAAGAGCAACGTTTTTGGTAACAGCCCGCAGCCACAGTCAAATCTTGGCCAACAATGAAGCGAACAATTACTGCATATTTAATTCAAATCACAGCAACTCGCATTCTACACTGAGCGAACAATGAGCTGCGAAGAGCAATTTAAATTAATTTCCGGTAATATTTATATATTCCAATTGAGTAGTAAATTTAAAAACATTTCAATATAAATTAAAGTTGAATTATTGATATTAAATAACGAATAATCTAGTGGGGAGACACCTCAACTCTCAACAGATCATTTACCTACACAAAACCAGACGCACACAACTTGTGCACACACGTATTCGTGCAGCTCCACTATATATGCATAAGCTCTACTATATATGATAAATCCTAGTATTCGTATTCGAATGAACTGAAATTCCCAAACTCGTTCAGCAGAGGGTGTAAATATATTATAGATCCCATTTCCAGTTCGTGGGGCAAGTGCTTATTATATAAATGATAACAGAGTGAAATTCCATAAAATCAATTTATAAATATTATAATTGTAATTTGATATATATATGTATGGAATTGCGAGTTAACTTTGCAAATGCTTCAATTTTAATTCTTAAACTCTGTTGCTTTATATGTATTCGTTTCCTTACATTGTTTTCTTGCTGTGTATTGTCTTATAGGCAAATTCATAGTCGCACTTATACACAGTCACACGCACACTCACACACACACACTCACACACAATGGGACGCAAAAGGACGCTTTGCTGAAAGTCACGACGCATCGCCATCGACGTGGCTCGTAGGCCGTGTAAGCCAACTAATTGGATTTCATTTGAACAGCAGCAGCAACAACAACAATGAGCAACAATTGCCATAATAAAACAGCAACAGCCACAACAACAACAGCAGCAGCAGCAACAACAATAGCAACAACAATGGGCCAAATGGTCTCGACTTGGGCAATTGCAATGCAATTTTAATGCAAAATGAGAGGCGGGCCACATTTTTATTGCATTTTTACTTGTATTTCAGTTAATAGCAGGCAGCAGCAGCAGCAACAACTACAACAACAGCAACAGCATGAAATTGGTGCTTGGTATGAATACAAAATGAGGCTAAGAGATGCCACCACAATGCAGGAACAGAACTTCACCTTCGGGAGAGGGGGGATAGAGGGTAGTTGCTGCCATTGCTGGCAAAATTAGTATGCAGCAGCTTACTGCAGTCAACAACAGCAGCAGCAGCAGCAGCAGCAGAAGCAACTACTTCGCATTGCCTTTGCTGCTCCTCTTCCATGTGCAGGACTTTGCCACTTGACTTTATTGGCAACTTCATGGAATATTCAGCAGTCAAGTTCTGCGCAAGTGCCTTCAAATGGACCACCCCTACTCCCACTCCCACTCATCAAACCTCCTACCCCTTCCCCTTCCTCGAGCTGCTAAGCATCCAATGCCTTTGCTGCAGCTTCATTTCATATGCATTTTTATTTGCCTCATATACAAATGGCAACCAGGCAATCACTGTGTGTGTGTGTGTGTGCGAGTGGGAGTGTTGTGGACAAGGGGCGTGGCACGGCACAAATGTCACTTCAATTGCCAATACTGATTATGGCGCTGTCTCAGTGTGTCGCAGCGCGAACTTTATGTGCGGCCAGCGCAGCGCTATTATTGGTGACATTTTTTTTGGCTTTTTAAGGTTTATGCGAATGTCTTTCGAATGCCCACAAATTGTTTGCAGCGAGAGAGAAGAGAGAGATGGCAATAGTAACGGGAGGAAGTTGGAGAGAAAGACTTATACCAAGTATACATACATATATCTACACTGTCGTCATACCCATTGAATAAAATTGAAGAAGTAGAAAGTAAGAGACCGCAGAGAACACATAAAGTATAGAATGTATGGAATACTTACATGTATGTATATGTGAGCAACATAAAGTATAGAAAGCATATAAAATATGAGAATATAACATATACATATGTGTAAACTTTATGTATGCTGTGTATATATGTGTAAAGTTTATATGTATATTAGACAAAGCACATAATATATATATAAAGGCTATAAGATATATACGTTGCCAGTATCTCAACTGCAAAGCAAAGTTAACTCCCTAACTTTGGTTGACAAACCAATAACCCGATTTTTCGAAACTTCTTTATATATTAAATTCTGATGTTAGAGATAGCAAGAGAGGTATAATCAATCAGGTATATCCTATACTATCCCAATATTCGAATGTATTTATATAGATATATAAATATTCTACCTTCTTAGGTAGAGTATTTGGAGCTCGTTCACAGCTTTCATTCTATCTCGCCTGGGCTACTCTTGCCATTTGTGTGATTTCCCTCAACACGTAAGACGCCTTCTAGTGTGTCCTGGCGACTTGCCTCGCTCCCCTGGCTTTTGCTTTTCGAAGTGCTTTTGGCCTGTCCGCACTTAGACGTGGACTTCGAGTTCGACTTGGAGTTGGTCTTCGATTTCGGTTCGGGTGGGACCAAGTGCTTGTTTGGGTCTATGCGTGATTTTGTTAGTGAATTGACCACACAATTTGCTAAGCGATAAATTAGCACATTAATTATTTAATCATGTGTCTGAGCCTCTCTCGCTCTCTCATTATCTATCTATCTCTATTGGTTTCTATGTGCGTGTGGGAGTCTTGTTGTTTCTTGTTGTGGCGCGCGGTTGACTTGTTGAGCATCGATTGCACTGATTTGAGCTAAGGGAGAAAGGATGTTGTGCTCAGCAGCTGAGATTAGCATGGGAAGGGAATCTCATACTAAGGTATAGTTGCCAGGGAATACGTAATTTTCTAGTAACGAACTATCAGAGTTGACAGTTTGCTCATGAAATCTTAAGACTAAATATATCTGAGATAATATATGGTTTTATGTGTTATTTATACCAATGCGCTCAATCACCATGGAATTTTCATGTATTAAGTGCTATTCTAGACACCTAACAGAGTAGTAGTTGCTCTGACTATAAATACTGAAGTACCTCTTCAATTATGTACTCTCATATCTACATATATGTCTATGTAACCTTTTGTAATGTTAGTGCCAATCAGAATATACTTTTAAAGGGTCTGGGATATGGAGAGCCAGAGTATTACCCGCCACAGTCATATCTTCCGTAATGGCCATTCCATTTCCTGAGTATAATAATCGTGGCATACGAGAGTGTTCCTAATTAATTTCGCACCCACTCTCCATTCTCTCTCCCCACTCTCCCTCCCTCTCTTACTCACTGATTTTTATGTAGCCACACAATTTTGGGGAGCACATGCGAGCCCCTGCGCATGCATATTGCATGGTATATGGGCATTTTTAATAAGTATCCAATTTTTTGCCACGCATTTTCGCATTTTGTGGCGCCCTCCTAAGCTGCTCTTCCTCTTCCCCTGTTCGACGCCTTCAGCATATGCCCGTCGACAATTTTTATGCTTCGCCATTTTTGGTCGTTTTATAAATTAAATATGCCACTCGCGCAATTTCAGCCAGCGATTGTTTCGCAATACCCTGTAATGCACATATGCAGAAGGTGGCTTGCATCGCAAAACAAAAATTTGCTTTGTTGTGTCAATGAATTGGGATCACCGAATGCAAGTAAAGAGTAGTAAAAATCGAATTATTTCGATTGATTGAATGACTGACTGATTGACTTAGCGGCTGATTTTATTTCTATAAAATACTGTTCTATTCATGACCAAATTCAATTAAGCCTAGGGTATTTCATGGCCTATAAGTGCAAGTGTGTGATAGGTGCTGTGGCACAGTTTTTGGGCCGGGTTAAATGGAATACAATGGGGTTGTTATGGCCTGACGGCGTCTGGCGCTGAGGCTGGGGTTGGGCTCGCGTTCGGGGTGCTCTCCGAATGTGCGACACGCCGTTAAGCAGTTCATTTGTAGGCAATTTTCGTATGATTGCAAACCATTTGCGCTGTGCCCTCGCTCCGGGTGCGTGCGATTAGCTGCAATATTTATGGAGCCTACTTAGAGCGCTTTGTGCAGTGGCAGCCATGATTTTTATTGCACCCAGAGAGAGGTAGAAAGAGAGGAAGAGGGAGAGACAGAGAGAGAAACTGAATAAGCAATTTAGTCGTGTTTGATATGTGCTTTGAGTTTCATAAATTAGACATCTAAAACTCTGCCTTTTTGGGCATCTGGTCTCGTTCATAAATACAAATTAAAATCGCTCTTTCGTTTGGCACATTTAACTAATTTGTATAACAGCTTTGTTGGGGCCCAGTTTGGAGGGGCTTTCCAGTCGCTGGAGACATAAAACTAATTAAATCAGAGTTTGCTCGTAAAAATACCAGATCTGTAGCATTCATTCATTTGAGTGTTCTCTGCTGGAAGACTTACGCCCCCATAAACCGGGCCCAAGACAAAGGCGCAAATATTTACGTTAAATATTTGGAAAGTAAATTATAACATTAAAAGCGAATAAAAAATAACGAATGCAGAGAAACGTTCATAAAAAATGATGCTCTGTGACAGGTATTTGTTGAAGTATGTTTTCAAAACGAGCTCACGACACGTTTTGCATACCCTGTAAACACTGAGAGTGTGTAAAAGTGGGGTATCATGACTAGAAGATGTAGTTGATGAGATTGAGCAGTGGAAAGATTTACATTTCACATTCACTATTTGAATTTGCTAATGAATTCGAAGATTAGCTTAAGTAGAATCTTTGAGTTTGGTATAGAATTGCCTATAAGAAATGGAATTCCTAAGATTGTCTTGCCCAGATATCCGCTTTCTATAGAGTATCTTCTAGACTCTATCATCACTTCCAGTGGCATGGCCAATGTTAGCTCAAACTAAATGCATTATAATCGTTATATATGTATATTCATAACTATGCATGTTTTTATATACATATTCGAAATGTATTGAATATCATTTATATAGAGAACTTACACCTCTTTGAGTCTTCGGCTCGTGCCGTTATCTCAACTAGCCGAGTTAATTGCTTAATCTGCAAGGCTGCATTAGATGCTGCTCCGGCTCGGGTCATTGCTGGACGAGCTCACCTTTCTACCTGGGCCAGAGCCGTGAGTCATGCGCTGGCTTATCGAGACGAGAAATGCGTGTCTCCGTCTTCAATAATTTTATAGCCCACGTTGCGGCAGCGCAGCGCAGCTCAGCGCAGCGCAGCAGAAAAACAAAACCTCGCTGCAATCAATTAGCATTGTGACCTGTTTTTTACCTGCCGCCCTTGCCCTTGCCCCCTCTGGCCGGCCCTCAGCCGCTCCTGTGCGCTCGCCCCGGGCCTGTCTCTTATCAGTTTGACGCGCTTGTTAATGAACGAGCGAGGCCTCAAGCATTGCAGCGGGGCACGTGGTGGGGGCATGAGGCAGGAGCAGGGGTGTTCCACTCATATTTTGATGCATCGATTGGCTTTTGTTTTTGTTTGTTTTGTTATTGTTAAAAGCTTTTTGCTTAATACGCATTTTAAATGCTAATTAAAATGTTTTTTTTTTTTTTTTTTTAGGGATTTGTTCGACTTGTTCTCTGCTTGCTTCTCTGTTCGCATTTGCATTTAGGCACTATAAAAAATTTGTCAGAATTGATGATGATGGGAAATATTATAAATGACTTTTACACTCTTACACTTTTGCACGTTTTTTCATCATTTCTACATTACACTGTGCAACGCAGTCATTTTTCAACAGAGCCAAAGAATTTCCGCATTACAAATGAGTATTTTCCAGTTTTCTGGCCTCCCATTTCCCAAAACAATTAAAAAATCCTCAGACTAGGGATCTGCTGCTCTAGCCGACTTGTCTCGTTCATCATGCCCAAATGCATTTTAGCTGAAATTAAAAAATATTTATATACATATATATGTGTGTGTATGTATGTATATATACTGCGCCGCTGTTCATTAATTCCAAGTGGCCTCTGGCAGCTTAGCTGAAGCTGTTGCAACTGCTACAAAATTCAGAGCAAAAGCATTCACAACCCGCTTTGGGGACAGACTCAGAGCTCAGCTAGCAACTGCCTTCAGCTGATGGACATGTGTAGCTGGCGCTGCTGCAGCAACTGAATCCCTAATTCTTTGCCAAAACAAATCTCTCACTCACTCTCACTCTCACTCTCTCACTCTTCCCTTGCAATATCAACTTTTAGTACTACTTCAAGGGCAAATGCTTGAATAGTGTCATCCATTTAAAGCTTTACTCTTTTGACTAGTTATCTTATATTATATGTTTATTTGTTGAGAAATCGACATCCGCTTAGATGCCACGCCTTGACGCCCCAAGTGATTTATGAGTCTATCTGAAAACGAGGCTAACAATGGACCAAGGGAAGATTAAATCAGTCAAATCGAATCGCTCAGAAAATTCAACAAAGGCTGAATTAAAAGCGAATATTTTGGAAAACTACATAAGGCGAAACTATCAGGAGGACTAGAGACTAGAAGACACAGAGGCCTTCCACGTTTCCAGGCCGCATCGAGAGCAGACATTGCATAAACGAAAAAGCTAGTATACTCTTCTTTCGTGCCGTTGAATTGAAGAACATACACTTCAGATTACGCACTATCTATCTATCACTATCAAGGCCTACTAAGTATAGACTACAGAGTATAAGCAAGGTCAGGCACGAACAGCACATCAAAAATTGAATGACAATCATGAAATTAATTGAAATTCTCTTTTGATTGCAGATTAAATTTATGGCTAATCGTTTAGCAAACGCTGTCTGGCATCACTTGATCTGCTTGGCTTGCTGTATACCCTGTACAAAGCTGAAAGTGTCAAGCAAAGTCGCTCACACAGAACTTGAACTTTGGCAGAGTATTGGGCAGTCAGTACTCACTTAAAGAAACATTTATATTTGAGTCTACAACTGAGTTATACAGAAACGATAAATTGAATAAGCCTGCATATGTTTGGCTACCTTTTAGGGTTTAGGATCGCGCAGCAAAGTCCAGCCAAATGCCTCCGTTGAGAGTCGTCACTAGCCCCGCTGGCTGGAACATATTGTCCTTGCGAGTCTTTGGATTGACGCTGACATCAAAGTTGACGATGAGCTCGACGAGTGCCGCCTTGATCTGAGCGAGGGCAAAGCGCATGCCTAGAGGACCCAAAGGACATTTAGTTTGGGAATAGCTCTCAATGGGACTCGCTCTACTCACCTACGCAGATGCGTGGACCATCGCCGAAGCCCATGAATGCGCCTTGATCGCGGTATGCCTTGATGGCACTGGGGTCCACGAAGCGCTCCGGCTGGAACTCTTTGGCATTGGGAAAGATGTCCTCATCGAGCATGTAGCAGGAGTGCGGCACCACGACTATGGTGCCCTTTTCCACTGTTATGTTTGGCCCGTTCTTATTGGGCAGCTCAATGGACTCGGTGCACACCTTGTTGGCAAAAGCAAGGGGTGGGAAGAGTCGAATGCATTCTGCAAGCCGGATCGAAAGTTATTGTAAGACCTCAAATATTTCCACTCTCATATATATTCACCATGCACGCAGGCATTCAGGTAGGGCAGCTCGAGCAGCTTATCGAAATCGATGAAGCCCTCATCGTTGAGATGTTCCTTCAGCTCATCTCTTAGGCGCTGCTGCACCTTGGCATCGCGGCCCAGCAGCAGCAACGTGTGGGCCAAGATCGTGGCCGTCGTCTCAAAGCCATCCAGCAGGAAGGTCATCGAGCAGGCGGTCACCTGGCGAGTGCTGAGGTTCTTCTTCTTGGCCAACTGCTGAATGTAGTCCAGGAAGTCCACTCGACTCGAGAGCTGGCCCGCTGCCACTTGGCCATTGCGCGTCTCGATCGCCGCCCCCATGAAGTCCACGAAGAAGCGCTCCACATCTTTGGGTATGAAGCGCCACTTCTTGACACGTCGCAGCGAGGGTATCAGGGCCATAACGGCAAAGCTGAGCGAAATGTACAACGGCTGATCGAACAGGGCCTTGATCTTGGCCATCACAGGCGTGGGACGATCGGTGAAACTCTGAGCGCTCAGGCCCAGGACGCAATCCGTGACCATTTCCGAGGTAAAGCAGAGGCTGAGCTGGTGGTTGGGATAGAGAGATGACTCTTTGATATGTGCTCTACATATATGTATGCATATATGTCAAGATGTATATATATACTGCATAATTTACTCACTTCCTTGCCATCTACACCATCTTTGGGCGCCATACGAATTTGCTTGCGTATGAATTCGTTCATTTTTTTGCACACTTGCAATGTCACTGGATAAGCCGTCTTGATCTGCAGATGATTATCAATATGTAACACATATAAGGAGACAGGCAAAGAGAGAGAGGTGAGAGAGAGAGAGGTGCCTCTTATGGCTTACCCGACTTATGGTTAGGCCGGGAGTTATTTCGGCGCGACGCTCCTTCCACGCCTCGCCCGTCATCGTGAACATGTTGTTGGCGAATAAGAAGTCGGACTTCTCGTCTACCATGGTGGCCATCTCGTTGTCGTGGAAGTTCTTGAAGCTCGACACGAAGACGCGATGCGCTAGCTCCGGATTGACAATCAGAAGTTGAGGCATCCGAGACATATAAATGCCAACTGCATCGTATTGCTGCTTGTATTTGCTGCCGAAAGGGGAAGAAAATCATTTAGATTGAAGTCGAGCGCACAAAAGAGAATCTGGCGTTACTTGTAGATCTCATTCAGATCGCATACGGCATGCTGCTTCGTTGTGAACAGATTGGGATAGTTGCCAGTGAGCAGGGCTGGCTTCGGGCCGGGCACCTTGCGCTTGCGCCAGTAACCGTAGTTCCAGGTGAGAAACGCGTAGCCCAGCAAGGCTACCAGAGCAAGTAGAGCCAACGTAGTGAGCATTGCGACAACCGTTGCTCGAATGCTGGCCGCCTGCTTATGCCCAATTATAAATACTGTTCGCTGGTCATGATACCTTATCAGAGTGTAGCCTAATCAGCTGGCTGCAGCGAGCAGACCCCCCGCCCAATTGCCTTCCATCGCTCGCCTTTTGAAAATAGAGTATATTCGCGCAAAATGTTACTCTCTCTCTCAGTCTCTCTCTCTCTCTTTGTTCCACTCTCGCTTCTTTCCAAAATCTGTCGAATATGGCTTTTACAGAGTAAACCCGTTCACGGCAAATAGATATCCGCCAATGGCATAACTGAATCTGACTATTCTTAGCCTTGCACGAGTATCGTGCAGTCAGTTTCATTCGACTTTTCAACATTATTTCATGCGTTTGTCCGATGATTTCATTTTGTGCTTGCGAGCATGACGTTGATTTTCATTTACCCGTAGGAATCACCCTCAAAACTCTGAATGAAGCATGACTCGACGAATTCTCCTACTGAATATTGTTTACATTTGTATAATCTTCTTAGATAGAGACTGAGGCTACATAATGAGTATTTGGCAATAACACAGTGTTCCTCGCAGCTTGAGCTGTTGTCTAGTGCTCTGGAGGAGCATGGGTATGCTGCAGGTTGATCGAGTTTTAAGGGCAGTATAGATCTTATATGATATAAAGATGACGAGTCAACCATACTACACTCTAGTGTAGTAAGAGTATATGTAATACGCAATTTCAATACTCTTTCTCTCTCTCTTTCTCTCTACATAATTTAATATCAATTTCACTCCCTTTCTTTCGCCCTCTCTCTCTCTCTCTTTCTGTCATCCTCGCTTGCTCCGTCTCTCTCTCTCTTTCATTATCTCTATTTCTCTCATTCTCCCTCTCGCTCTCGCACTATTTATCTCTCTTTCACTCATACTTTATTTCGAGTTTCACTTACTTTATAAAAGACTTTTATCAACTCACGCGCCTACACATTTCTATTATATATCAACATTTATATATGTTTATATTTACATATCTGAAAACTTGGCTGTTCATTCATGTCAGCATTCGGCTTGAGCATTTGAAATGGATTTATGTGCGTCGCTCGGAAGCACATAAAGAACCATTAAGCGACCAAATAAGTGACAATCTCAAGGCAGTGTCTATGCCCCCAACCGAGTGGTGGGGGAGTCGGGGGAGGTGGCGCAACTATCAGTGGTGCATTGCCATTACACCCACTCGCAGTTTGTATATATTGTTGTCCAATTGCTCAGCTAATGGATTGCGAGCACAGTTAATAACTCGAGCACACACAAAACTGTGCCAGCTGCGTGTTTGTTGGTGTGTGTGCGAGTGTGTGTGCTGGGGCCAGGAAGTGGTGCAAGTGTGGCCTGAAATGGCTGGCCAGCTGCCGTCCAATTAAACACTCAGCCACAAGCGATGACGGGGCCTCGACTCCGGCCGAGGATGGGATGCTGAGCTGAGCTGAGCTGGGCTGACCTGGCCACGTGTGACAAATTGACGCTTTTTAATTTCGCTTGCACCGCCGCAACGCCGCACCACCATCAACAAAACCACTTTAAAAATAAACGCAAAGCGCCACACGACGAATCGCCAATAACAAAATGACAAAATAACGAATTAACGAATTACGAATCACGCATACGCCCCATGTGCCCCACGCCTGTCGCCTCTCGCCCATCGCTGGCTGCTGTTGTCAACTCTGGCCTGATTGACGATGTTGTTCAAGTGGTTGTTGCTGTTGCTCTGCTTGTTCCTCTTGCTGCTACTATAAAGGTGTTTTCATTTTGCATGCGAAACAAAGCAGAACCAAAAAAAAAAAAAAAAAACGTCGCCTTGATTAATTGCCTCGCACAAGCAGCGACTGCTAAGCAGAGTCAAATGGATATAGAGATACACATACTTATGCATGTGTATGTGTGTAGTGGCTGAGGAAAAGAGAGTGTTTCAATTCCGCTTTGACTCTACTTTATTTAACAAATGATGTGCATGCCTTCTGCGACGATAATGCGAAGCGCCAGCTCTGTCTCTCTGTCTCCCTGTCTCCCTGTCTCTCTATCTCGCTCGTCCTGTTGCCTGTTTCATTCGCCTTCGCTCGCATCGTCTGGCAAACCAATCAAAATGTTAATGACACTCGCCAATACAGTTATCATCGCAGCGGCGTCAGCTACGCTGATATCTGTTCGGAAGGGGTCGAAGGGGGTGGTGCAGGAGGCAATATGACTTCAGTGAGCCTTTTAACAGTGCTCTGCCATAGCTTTTGTTCTCACACACTATATATAGAGCTGGTATACTCAATATGTTGTGAAGTGTGACATCTCATCTTCTTTCTCTTTCTCTCTCTTTTTCTCTCTGTCTCTTATTTGTCTTTGTTATGAAAACTGATTGTTGCTTAGACTTCCTCTCTCAATACTTCCTCTCTATCTCTAAAATCAATAAACAACAAATATATTTTTTTGTCGAATTATTCTTATCACCCCGTACTATTTTCATATTTGATAATGAAGTGCAGTTAGTATTTAATCAAGTCAAATTAGTTAGTCAAACATAGTTGGGTTTACCATATAAATAGTCTCCAATACCTTATAAGTATTATTCTACTTCCGATTTCTGCAAGTGTATTTGGACTTCGTCAAGCTCTGCTGCTCATTTTGTTCCCTGCATCTGCTGGTTGTCATTTGGCGTCTCCATTTCTCTGCCCGTCGTCTCTTCGTTCAGTTCCCTCCCTGCATCGTCTTCTCCTGCGCCGTCGCCTTCTCCCGCTCCACTGCTGTTAAGTTGTCATTTCCATTATGAGCATGTCGCTTTAGCATTTAACAAATAGTTGAGACATTTACAAGCATCGATAAGCGCCAGCGCTGCGCCGTGGCACCTGGAGAGGACCTCCACAGAGCGGCCGATCGATCGACGGGGGGATCAATGGCCCAGCTCCACATGCGGCTGCGATTTGTGTTAATGTATTTAGATTTGGGTCTCAGCCGATGCGTCGGCTAATTGATGTCGCTCTTAAATGGCCAGCTAAAGTCTTTCATATTCATACTCTGTCACACATTAATCAACGCGCGCAGCACCCATAAAGCTCATAAATAACCAAATTCGAATTCAAATTCAAATCGAAGTCAAAGTCGAAATCCAACTCCAAGTCCAAGGCCCATCTCTTAGCTGAAGCGGCCCACACACAATAGCCAAGCACTTCACCAGCGAGATTTATAATAATAATTGCCTGGCGCTTCCCATGCGAGCCAAGCGTCGCCACAATATGACAGACAACTCAAGAACTTATCAGAGTCAGTGACAACCAGATGAAGAAGAAGATGATGAAGAAGAAGATGTGAACTGGCGACACCGGATGTGCTGCATAGGCATAAAAGCTAAAGCGGAGAGCGTGACACGAGAGCAGGAGGCATTGGTATTAAAGCTGGGCAGGAGGTATAAGGTAAACGATAGCAAACGATAGTATAATATAATTTGGGAGTGCTTACATAGCAGACTCTGAGCGAGCATTCATGAATGAATGGACACCTCGAAAGCGGGTAGTCAAACAACAAAGGCTAAAAGGACTCAACTCAACTGTCTGATTAGGAATCTATATGCATTATGCTGGCGAACACTTGCGCTATGTCAATTTATCGTCCTTTACCCATAATTAAAAATGACAAATTATTTTCTAATACGAGTACACGTCTGCTCATGCGTGTCCGACAACTGTTCGCCTGGTTCTGCTCATCTCTAGGAGAAGTATTTCGGCCATTGCATAGATCAAAATTGTGTTGACAAAGGGGAAAAATTATCGATTGATAATGCGGCCAATTGTGGGCTGTGCACATAAACAAAGCATTAAAAACATATCGAAAACATTTTTAAGGTAATTTATCAAAAGATATGAAAAACAGAGAAAGAGAGAGGGAGCGGAGCCGGGTGGGAGGGTGAGTGAGACGAAGGTGATTGGTGGGCGTCATTGTTTATAGTGCTAATTACAAGCTGAGCGACAGACTGCAACAATTTGGAATCGATTTGTCAGCGAGAGCGTCATAAAGAGAGAGAAAGATAGAGAGGAGGGCAGAAAGAGATACAGTATGAGGGAGGGCGGGTTATAGTTCAAGCCATATGGCAACGGAGGAGTATTACTTGTGCTCATTAGAACGAGCATAAATCATTTGCGATGATTGCTTCCACAGAATCGATGGACAAAGAAAGAGAGTGAGAGAGGCAGACAAAGAAGGAGAGAGACAGAGAAAAACGATCTTTAGGCAAGCTAAGCAACTGGCAATCAGCAAAAGCACTTCCGATGTGTGAACGTGTAACGTGTGCTCTAGGCGGTAGAGAATGATCGGCATATACCCTGTAGTAGAGATATACTCAACATGTGTGAGAGCAGGTAAAAATAGGATTCAAATATGTTAAGTTCATTTCATTTATCGTTTCTCAATTTCATAGAAATGGGAAAATATTTATTTTATCTTTTAACCTTCTTGTCTAATGGAGAGTTAGATATACATAAACGATATATGAACTTTGAACTTACGGGATCCCACTGCTATATCTCGCATACCCCTACTCCACTGTGTACAGGGCATAACGAGCTCCACCAACAGCCATCTTGGAGTAGACGGCTCAACGTGTTGGGAGTAAAAAGTTTGCGTAATTTGTTGAAAACGTTTTGTTTGAAATTGAAATTGGTTTCTGCTTCAGCCCGACAATTTAACCACAAATCGGACAAAGCGGCTAAAACGTTCAAAGCGATAGACCCAGCCCCAAACTGCGGCGCGGATGAGAATTCTCGCAGCGTTAAGTTGCGCTGAGAACACGCAAAGGAAATAAAAATAAAAATAAGAAAAGATTAATTCGAGCAAATGTTAAGTTTGCTGTGCGCGATTTAGCATACCCTACAATGAACTATATAATTGGACACGGCGCATCAGGCAGGCACGTTTCATATTAACAAAGCCAGTCAGAGACAGAGGAAGAGCGAGACAGAGAGACTGAGAGAGGGAGAGAGAGG